TCTGTCGCCTAGACGCCCCTTTTTTTTTCCTTCCCTCTGACAGCAATACTGCCGATTTCTAAACTGCAGAAGATCCCTTGCCAACGACTCGGAAGAGGTGAGGTATGAGGTGAGGTATAACATCCCAGCAATAAAACAAGCTGTTGATACAATACAATACAATTCAACAATACAGCAACCAGTCCTTGACCAACTCTCCCCTACTCATCCTCTGTACTTTCCACCCTTTTATCGTTTCACAGCTATGCGAGTCCCGTCCCTCTCAAGACGCGCATCTTGATCCCCTCCCAACTATTCAGTTTTGGCCTGACGTCGAGGTAAAAGTTCAGCTTGCCTCCTCCATTACCGCTCTGATCATTCCTCCCCGCATAAAAGTCGATCACGTATTCCACCGTCTTGCCACAGCGATCCACAACCCAGTCATGTCGGTCAAAGGGCGCCGTGTATCCCAACAGCGTATTGAACCGTGCCTTGGGCGACATGCTCTCGCTCAGCCCCGCAAAACTGTGCAGCCGCGGCCCGCCACATTTGTCTTTCTCCAAAAAGGGCGCCTCCCAGCGCAAGATCTCCTGCCAGGCGCGCTCGTTGACTGCGTTGTGGATGGGCACCACCGTCTTCATGTCGGCGGCGGCGGCCGACGAGAAGCCCTTGCGCTGCATAGCCTCGAAGAACATCTTCTCGGACGGGTAGATCCATTTCCCCGTGGGCGAGGCACCCGTCTCGAGCTCGTGGTTGGACGGGCGCGTGGGAGGGGGGCGGCTGGATCAGCGGGCGATGAGGGGGCGCGTGGGATGGACGAGATTTCGCGGGATTCGTCGAGGTGGGGGATTCGTGGTGCTGATGAGGGCGATTGTGTGTTTGCGAAAGAAGAGGAGGATGGTTGTTGCGGCTGTTGTTGTTGTTGTTGTTGTTGTTGTCGAGAGGAGAAGGGCAGCCACGAGGTCCATGACGATGACGACGACGACTGCTGTGTGGGGGATTGTTCTGTTGTTGCTGCTGCGACTGCTGTCCTGGGAGGGTGTGGCATCGCTATTTGCGCTTCTGTGTCGCCTTTTGCTGCTGCCGCTGCCCGCGCCTGCCGAATCCACTCTTCGCGCGTCTTGTGGTCAACCGGACACTTTGCCTCGTCGCCATCCCGCGCAACCCTGACATCAGCACCTGAACTAGACTCCTTCATTCTATTACTGTCTGCGATCGGCCTTGCTGCTGCCAGTAGTCCCGTGGCGGTGGAAGAGGACGAGGTGCCGTCGGAAGCTGTCGGGATTTTGTGATTGGTGATGAGGACGGTATCTAGGAGATCTGTGTGCATCTTTAGATCATTGTCTCGCTGTCGTAAGATCGGAGTGATGGGTACTTTATGGTGTCTGACGATCGTTAATAATGACACTCAGTTTCGAGTGGTGGACTAGTGCAGTTGGCCAAGGTCCTGTCAGAACAGAACGATTGGAAATTTAGGTACTGCTTAATTTTTTAGCTGCCTACCTAACCTAGCTCAGAGCTCCCGGCAGCGGGCGGCAGACCTCTGCAAGGACCAGCTTGTCACCTAATTGGATAGGTTCCTTCCACCCGACGTTGTCGGAAGTTCCCGGCAGGCATAAGGTCTCCAATTGTTTCCGAGCAATCCGTGGTGCAGTCAGATGCATGAGGATGCAGAACACGAACTACCAGGGCAACAACAGTCAAAAGGTCATGGGCAGATCACGAGAGTACATGTGGTACCAATGGGGAATAAGATGATTGGTAAAGTTTTAAAATGTTTTTCCTCATGCCTATAGCTACCCACGTTAGACCCAAGCAAGGCACCTGGTTGCCGACGGTAGCTTCGAGGCTTTCATTTGTGCTGTATGCACGACTTCGGATAATCACAGCCTCTTAAAATCCCAATCTCTCTACTTGAAGTCCAGTGTTGTTGTATGCCAAAGCAAAATAACCAAAGCATCAACCTGAAAGTTCCCAACAAGCTCTGTGACAAGCTCTCAAAAGGAAAAAGAAAAGAAAAAAAGACCTAGCGATGTCGATGGGAATCATTGTTGAGAATATGCCCCATTCGAGGCGCAGTGATAATACCGGATGCGGCGCCGTGAATCCCCTCAGTCGTCAACCACGACTGTCTCAGCTTTATCTGTATTTGTCATGGCAACGTCCCTCGTGTAAGAAAAAAACATGTCTACCTCCATCCAGTTCTGCCGGGGCTCGTTGCGTTTTTCGTGGTATCTTTCTTCTGTTGTAAGTTCAATTCGGCACCTGATCCTGATCCCCGCCCTCAACCTAGCTCGAGGGGAGGGGAGGGGGGTCGTGCTCCGATTCGATGGCACTCTAGTCCTGTCTGAATCTGTGTGTATGTCGCAAGCACCGATCCTTTTTATCCGCTGTCATCCTCATACCGAGAAATCGAACGAGATGGTCTAAGCAAAGGCCGCCGCGCCGCCCGACTCCAGAGCCTCAATCTCATCCAGGCTGATAGGGGCTCTGTGGAAGCGGGCGGGGAGCTCGTTGCGGTCGAAGTAGACCCCCTTAGGCGGAGCTACAGGGCCGAGCTGGGAGCCCGAGGCGCCGCCGACGCCCGAGCCATCGGCCTTGATGGTCTTGCGAAGGGGTCCGAACTGCTGCGCGTGGTCGCGGTACGAGCTGAATGTGTTGTGGGAGGACGAGGCCGAAGTGAAGGAGGCGGGGAGCGTGTGTGTGGGCGACGCAGGGTGCGGCTGGGGGGTATGGTCGACAGACGCTGCCGAGCAAAAGTCAGCTTTTTGTTCACGACAGACAGAGGACGAAAGGCGAGTTCATACAGGGAATCGTCCGCTTGCCAACAAACTTGATGGACGGGGTGCGCTCGGCGTGCTGGGCAGCCTGGCGCAGGGCACGGGTAGCGAACATGATTGATTATTAGGTAGGTGGTTTGAGGTGTCAAAGGTGTCGACCCTTTCTCCTCGCGACGATTGCTGTCCTGGGGAGCGAGGTTTCGAAGGTGCGAGGTTGATGCAGAGTGAACTGATTGCCGCGCACGTCAGACTTCAGAGCCAGAAGGACAGGTCGCGAGCGAGGAGAATTCGGTGGGGCTTGGGCAACGGTGGTGGGTAATTGAATTGCTGGGTGAGAGGAAAGGTGGAGAGGTGGGAGGGCAGCACTGAAGATAAATGGTTTTTTCACAAGCTTTCGATTTCTTGTCGTCCAAGCCTCCAGCGTAACTTTGCACCTTGTCCTCGAGCCCCATCCCAGCCGAGCCCGAGCTCGATCAATCACCCATAGGCCACGGGCCAATCAGCGGTCCCTGCCCTGCATGACTGCATGGATGGGGTCTCGACCCGGCCACCCTGTCTCTGCTGTGCATCACCGAACTCCGGAGCCTGTGGGAGGGAGTAAGTAGTCTAGGGACGCATGGCGCTGCACTTTTGGCGCCAAAACGTACCATTCTCCCGCGCAATGTGCCCACTATCGGGCTTTTCCGCGCAATGTTCCTGCCCAATTCCAATCTGCAAGCACTTGGAAGGTACGAATGCCACCAGTATCTTATTTCCATTTTCTTCTTGCATCCATCCATCGCTGCCCCCCAATCCCATGCAGCCACTTTAATTGGCACTACAGGATACCTATCCGCCCTCCCGTCACCCCTCCTTTAGCATTCGCACCTGCCTTGCCTTGCTCTGAGGCAGGTGGCCGGTACCGACCTGAGCTGCCTGCCTTCCATAACCTTTCCATGCCCTCCCGCTGCACACAACAACCACCACCACCACCGGGACTGCCGTGACCATGCTGTCAACAGAGTTTTCTTGCCACTATCGGAATGAAGGGTTTTTTTTTCTTCCCATCGCATCCCACCAACCGCACCTTATAGGTACTAGATGTATCGACGCGGAGTTGCCGTTTTCTTTCCTCATTCTCTCCCATCATTTTTCATCTGTGGTCGTCGGCGAGCGAGTGCCACGCCCACCTATCACAATCCGTCCAACAATCGGTGTCTGTCAATTTATAACACGCATTACAAACGTTTTCCCTTTTCCCCAAATAAAGAAATCGTCATCATCGAGGCTAAGAGTCCCCGCGTTGCCCAATGAAGCTGATGTGCCATCTGGAAAGGCGATGAGGTGATTTTGGGTCAGGCATGCCCCACGTAGTATCCCTTGTTGAGACTGCTGAATATCTGACCTAGGTGGCCTTGGCTGCCTTTCCAATCCAACAAAGCTGGACTCGTTGCGCCCTAAAGCGGACACCACTGCAGGACGGACGACCATTACTGAAACCCTGCTTTGATAGGAATAATGGAACTGGGGCCCGGCCATTTGCCCATTTCCCGTTGTTCAGTCTGTGCTACGCGTAAAATGTCATCAAGCTTGTGAAGGCGCGCGCTGCCCCGCGTTCCCCCCCCATCCCCTCCCGTTGGAGCATGGGCGCACACGAGCTTGCCCATAGAGCAGGGGGCCAGACAGCCCGATGAAACGGGACGTCGTCACGTCGCACTACAATGCACATGTCACCGAAACTCACCGAACATTTTCGCTGTCATTGCCTCGTGATTGTGAGATTCGGCGTCATAATAAGCAAGCCATGCACGAATAAGTAAGCTGCATCAACAGTACTGTGGTACTGGTACTCAGATATTCGACTGTGCTCGATATACAGGGGTGTCTGGGCTGCCTGGGCCAACTCTCAATCATGACTTCAATTGTTCTAAAAGACAAATCTCAAGCCAACGAATATCTCCCTCTTAAACAGCCCCCGAGAAGTTAACTAAAAGGACACGATATGGTGAATTATCTCCAAAACATGCCATTCCAAAGCCACCCAATTAAGCTCATACTATCAGAAACGTCATGAGAAGAAATCTGAAGCCTCATAAAGAAAGAATTATTCCCATAAACTCCTCTACTCTCTCTGTCATTGTGTCAACTGATGTATCCAAATCAAATAGTGACTGTGTAAGTGTCGTTTGTAAGAGACATGAACAGAGATGGGCAAAAAGATAGAGAGCAAAAGAAAGAATTGCCAAGCAACGACGGGAATTGAGCCCGACGTGGGGGTCGAACCCACAACCTTGAGATGGTCTAAGTTTGACGAGGAAGCTCCTGTCCATGTTAAGAGTCTCACGCTCTACCGATTGAGCTAGCCGGGCTGTGACAACCTTTAAATGTTGAATTTTTACGTAGGCATCTTTGATTATATGCCCAGAGTCCCTAGACAAAGCGAGGTATTTTTTGCACAAATATTACAGTTTGTATCCACTCCAAGGGTCGTGGCAGGGTTGGACCCCGTTTCAGAGCAACGATGGATGTGCTTAGGAGTTTAATACGTACGTACGCGAGAAAGTTTTTAATTAAATGTCTCTCTTAATTAAAAATATTATAAATACATTAAATACATTAATACAACAGTTAAAACGAAGTTGACTAAGCAAACATGGAAAGCAGAGTAAAAACTATGGTTTTACCAAAAGGTAATCAATGACTTTCTCCTAAGTAACAAAACAATAAATAGAGCCAAATGCCCAATAACAGGATTGAACTGTTGACCTTCGCATTACTTGATAGATAGGATATCTATTAGTACGACGCTCTAACCAGCTGAGCTAATCGGGCTTGTTGAATTTTGGTCGTAGAAAAAGAATTCATGGCTGCAAACATCTGCCAGCTCCATTTGCATGATTTTGGTCTGATGCAATCGTGGCCCCACATGACTTCGGTGGCCGACTCCCGACACGTTATACTTGAATGTGCCGATTGCCGACTCGCTGGCCGACCACCGACTCCCGAGTATTCCGGTTTGTTCATTTTTGAAACTGTTTTTAATAATAGGTAAAGAGCCCGAAAGTTCGGGTTTAAGCTTGATAGCTAGAAATTGGCAGCACTAGAGTACGTATTTAATGAGAAGCCAGTGGTTCCCAGCGTTCAGATGCGAGGTACATCATTTGTATAAATTGCTATCTAGGTACCTGTAGTTGTTGGAACATACATGTTCCTATATGCTGAGAAAGACAGTGGTAAGTTGTATTGTTTGTTGCAGATCCATGGAACATCGTTCGGTCGATGTGTAACGAGCGTGTGAGTATCCTCACCCCCTATTCTCTACCCTCCCCGTAGCTCAACTAAGAAATTCAACAATAAAGGAAAGCGAATCAGAATGAGTGAATAGTCAAAATGACAATAACTGATAGGAAAAATGACGTGAATCGAACAGACAGTCTGTGATAGAATGAAATCATGCAAATGAGTGACAGCGACCACATTGAGAAGCCACAACCCCCTATTCCCTTACCCCTTGCCCTCTAAAAGAGTGTATCAAGGTAAAACTTACCTTGATATTTGGCCAGCTCGAGTTACTGTTACTTACTCTGGCTAAAACTAGACCACCTCTGCGATGGTGACTATCACCTTTGCTCCGATTCCAAACCGTCTCTTCACCGCCTTCCACCCCTCGACAATGGCTGTATAAAGCACGACACAGGCCCCGACAATGGCCCACTCCCAAGTGATTGCGTCGTGCTTAAATACCACTCGGTTTACCACGGGGATATAAATGACGGGAAAGACAACGACAAAGCCGGCAGAGACAGCCCAGAACAGGAACCTATTCAGCCAGACAGTGCGGATGACGGACCAGGGCTCCTTGAACTTCTCGGGGTACATGTTGAACAAGGAGCGTGTAAAGTGCTTGGACTCCCAGGCTGTGACCAGCAGCAAAAAGGTCAGGGTGGCAAAGGTGGTAGCCCTCGCCCTGAAGGCCACCTCGCACCCTTGGCTCCAGGTCTCGTTGCATCCGTGGTTGGTGCTGATGTGCGGGCCAGAGACGCCCGTGTAGGCGACGCTGGTGAAGGCGGCCAGGCACAGACCACCCATGGCGGTGCCGTAGACGAACTTGTCGGTGATGAGCTCGCGCGTGAAGATACCGATGTGCAGATCGTGGGGCGGGCGCTGCATGATGTCGGGCTGGGCGGGCTCGAGGCCGAGGCCCAGGGCGAGGAAGGACGAGGTGACCAGGTTGGCCCAGAGGATCTCGAGGGGGGAGAGGGGAAAGATGGAGACGGAGTGGCTGTCGCGGAAGGTCAGGCCTAGGAGGAGGAGGATGACCTGGGCGATGTTGGAGATGAGGAGGTGGAGGAGGAACTGCTGGGGGTGTTAGTTTTGCAAACAATGTTCATCTCACTGGCGGGGGGTTGGGTGGACTGAAGTGCCGACCTTTTGGATGTTGTCAAATAGCCTCCTGCCTTCTTCGATGGCCGTAACGATGGACGCAAAGTTGTCATCTGTCAAGACCATATCGGCGGCTTCCTTGGCGACATCACTGCCGTTCAGCCCCATGGCAATGCCTACATCCGAGATTTTGAGTGCTGGGGAGTCGTTGACACCGTCGCCAGTCATGACGCAAAAGGCCCGGCGACGGTGCATGGCTTCCACCACGCGCACCTTGGTCGTCGGACTACAGCGTGCCAACACGAGCGGGAGATGTTGCATGGCGTCCACCTGAGCGTCGCTAAGGCAGTCGAAGGCGTGGGCCTCCATGATTCTGCCGTCATCATAGCTGCTGTTTCTAGCAGCAGATGGCTGCTGCAGGATGCCAATCTCGTATGCGATGGTGGTGGCCGTCTTGACGTGGTCGCCCGTCAGCATGTGCACCGTGATGCCAGCCTCCTGGCAGCGTCTCACCGCTGCCGCCGACTCAGGCCGTGGTGGGTCGTAGAGGCCAGCCAGGCCAAGGAAGGTCAGATGGCGCTCTGTGGATGCTCGTTGACTGTGCAGGACACCGGAGAATGTGGCAGGGTCCACGCGTCGTTTGGCTACACACAGCACGCGCAGACCTTCGCCTGCAAGGGCGTCTGCTTTTGCCACGATCCGAGTCTTTTGCTCGTCCGAGGTGTCGAGCAGCGGGAGGATGGCCTCGAGAGCGCCTTTGGTGTAGGCGTGGGTTGTGTCCAGCCCGGCATCGGAATAAACGACTGTCATCCGCTTGAGAGACGAGTCGAAAGGGAACTCGGAGAGAAGAAGTGTCTTCTTTTTCTCCGCTTCCTTTTCCGCACCAGCCACGGTATAATGGAGGAGGGTTGGCTTTCCCATGCCAAAGCGCATGGCAAATACCTGCAGGGCAATCTCAGTGGGCTCTCCGATGGCCGAGTAGGTTTGGTCGTGGGCTTTGGTGACAGTTGCGTTGTTACAGAGAGCTACTGTCTCGAGAAACTCGCTGAGAGGGCCGCTGCTGGCAGACTCGGGATCCTTCTCATCTGCCACGACACCGTCGACCGTCACGGTGCCACTGGCCCAGTCAAAGGGACCACCCGTGCCGCCCTCGACAACCACCTCAGTGTCATCGGCGAGCCAGATCCGCCTGGCCACCATCTTGCCCTGCGTCAGCGTGCCTGTCTTGTCCGAGCAGATGTTGGTGACGCCGCCCACGGCCTCGAGGGCCGCCAGCTTGCGTATCACCACGTTCCCGCGTGCCATGGCGCGCGTACCCAGCGCCGTCGCGATGGTCAGCACCGCAATCAGGCTCTCGGGTATGACGGCGACGGCCACACAGATACCATAGATCAGCACTTCGTTGGTCACCTTCCACAGGCTGACCGAGAACACAATCACGGCCAGTGTGATGGCCAGGGCGAACAACAACAGGGCGAACTTGCTCAGCGAGATCTGCAGCGGCGTGCCGTCCAGCCCCAGCAACACTCGCATCACGTCCTTCACCCTGGTTGCTGCCTTGCGCATCATCCCCGTGTCGGCAGCCACAGTCGTCTTTCTTTTACCACCAGACCGCAGCAGCCCGGCAATCTTGCCCACCTCGGTGTTCATGCCCGTCAGGGTCACGATGCCGAGGGCGCGTCCGCGGGTCACGGTGCTGGCAGCATAGACCATGTTGGCGCGGTCGCCAATGGGGATGTTGCTATCACGGTCTGGGGAGAGGATTGCCTCGGCGTGCTTGCTTACCGGCGTGGATTCGCCCGTGAGCAGCGCCTCATCGGTCGAGAGGTTCATGCTCTCGGCAAGACGCAGGTCTGCCGGGCACACGTCACCGACATTGAGGCGGACAATGTCGCCTGGCACGAGGGCCTCGGCGCGGATGGTCGACGGAGACCCGTTGTTGCGGATGACGCTGCAGGTGGGCGCCGAGAGGGCGTACAGGGCCTGGATCGTCTGCTCTGCGCGGAGGTCCTGGACGAATCCGACCACAATGTTGAGCACAATGACGGCGGCAATGACGGCCCCTTCAATGTTGTCGTTGATGCAGAAGGACAGCACCATGGTGATGACCAGTACAAGAGTCAAGCTGTTGGAGATCTGCCTCAGGAGAATTGTCCACACGGATAGCCCCTTGGCACCCTCAACCTTGTTAGGGCCATGCTGCTGCAGGCGACGGCCTGCCTCAGCGTCGTCGAGGCCATTTCTGTTGTCGTTAGTTAGTTAGCAGCAATTATCTATGCAGAAGAAGAGAGAGGGACGCACTTGAGGTCAGTGTTTAGCAAAACACAGACATCGGGGACGGACAGCGTGTGTGCCGCCTCGGGAGTCACGGCCTGCGCGGTGGTGGTGGAGGACGAGGACACAAAGGTGCCCGAAATCGACGACGCGGTGCCGGTGCCGGGCGTTCCGGCAAGGGTGACAAGCGTCGGCGACTTAGACCCGGACGGTCCAGCGGGCGTGGCAGTGGGAGTGGGAGTGGGAGTGGGAGAATATACGGAACTCTTGAAGCCACATATAGGAGGTTCCGTCTGCCCCTCGGCGTCAGTCTCGATCTCTGTCCCCATTCAATACGAGTGTGTTTATCAGGAGCGATCTTGTTGATCTCGGGCAGAGGTGATGCAGTGCGAGGGGGGAGAAACAGAAACAATGGAAGCGGCCAGACACATGCCACAGGTTTAATACATGTACCGACATGGCAGGGTGGCGTTTGTCAGTCAATGGATCCCCCATCCCCCATCCCCCTTATCCTGGAGTGATGGATGTCGCCGCCGCCTATGTCCGCCAAGTGCAAAGTGCAGCAGCAAATCCATGGCCCACGCCTTGGCCGTCGTCCTGGCCCCCCTCGTCCGCCGATGGGCCGTCCTATCACGGCGGCGCAAACACGACGCCGAGGGTTCTTGGGAGCGGGGCCCGGCATGGCTGTGCAGCTCCTTTTCTGCTTGGCGCC